CCCCAAAACCCCAAAACCCCAAAACCCCAATTCAGAAGAATTTATTGGAATTTGGATTATAAAATTATACATATTTAGCGCATATGGAGATATTAGAAGGCAATATGGAAGATGGGGAGCATGTCCCAGATTTATCGCCTATAAATAGGCCAGTAGACATCCCGAGAGTAGGTATGAGCTCTATAGAAAGAAGAAACACAGCTGGCTTGGTGCTATTTGCGATGTTCCAGGGCCTTATTATCATTCCCAACCTCCCATTCATGACGTATCTGTACGATGACCTCGGGCTGACCCCTGGCCAGCTGTCTATTTTCAATGGGTTTATCAACTATGTGTGGGCATTCAAAGTCGTTTTTGGCTTCGTGGTGGACTGCGTTTATATACTTGGATACAGAAGAAAGTCTAATCTACTGATTGCAACAGCTGCATGCACAATTGGGTGGATCTGTATGGGATTTTGGGTAGAAGGACTGGTAGCAGCAATAATTGTTAAGCTCTCAATTAATATCTCAATAGGTATTATAAATACCATTGCTGAAGCCTTGATGGTCGAGATGACAATTTCTAAAAATGTTAACAAAGAAGTTTCTCAAGAAATAGAAAACAAGGAAGAAGTTAAACAAAGAGAATTTTCTGGTGAAAGTATCAACCAGAGCGATGACTACCATAAACTCAGTGAAAATAGTGGCAAAAATGAACAGATGTGAATCACTCCCAATCGCCAAACCGACTCAAGAGAAGCCTTGGAAGAGAAAAGCACTACTTCAACCGATGAGGAAGATATAGAGGATTCAGCCTAAATATTGTACACATTTGGAAATCTTTTTCTTCATTAAACTTAGATTTATTTGCTAAATACTCCCCTAGTTTTTGTGAGTTTTACCTCAAAAGAGATATTAACTTTTGATAGTATATTAGACAAGTTAACCATAAGGTGCAACCTTCTTCTAATCACATGTTTATAATAGCATGAAATAAGAAAATTTCAAAGAAAAATCAAACCAATGCTGCAGGATTTGTGTCCATATTCTTGGGTGCTACTTATCTCTTCTCAATGCTCGGAATTTGGCTTGGAGGGTTTCTTAAAGGCAAATGGTCGAACCAACTCATTTTCAAAGTCAGTGCCTCCATTAGCATTGTTCCTCTGGTTACAGCCTTCGTGTTTTATGAGAAACGCAAAGTTGCTGTTGTTACTCCTGAGTCATATGAGAGAAGAGGAGGATACTGCAGATACTTCAAGAGAGTGTTCAGAATTCTGTGGAAATATCTGAAACAAGGGTTTATATTCAAGCCAACAGTATTTATGTTTTTGGTGTTGCTGACTCCATCGATCGACTCAGTGATGTTTACCTTCCAGACAGATGTTCTCAAGTTTTCGTACCAGTTCATGTCGAACATATCACTGGCCACATTTGTAGTGAACATTCTGGCAGTAATCGTGTACAGGAAGTTCCTTCTCCATGTGTCTTTGAGGAGACTTATCACAGTGACGACAGTGCTCTTTAGCTTAGCTCAAGCTATGAAGTTAATCATAATATTCCAATTGAACTCGAAAATTGGAATCAGTAACAAGGTGTTTTTCATAATTAATCAGTGATTTTTTTAGTTTTATCAATGAGATTCATCTGATGCCACTTATGGTGATGGCCACCAGAATCTGTCCCAAGAATCTTGAAGCCACAGTTTACGAGTTCATAATGTCAGTGATCAACCTGGCCTACCTGGTCAGCTACCAGTCAGGAGGAGCCATTTCGGAACTCCTTGACATCCGCAAAGGCAACTATGACAACCTGTGGATCCAGATCATCATAACGAGTGTGTTTCCGTTATTGGTGCTGTGGGTCGTCTTCATCGTACCGAATGACTTTGCAGAGAAGGTAGAAAAGTTCTCTCAAAAAGTTGCTGCAGAGAAGGAAGACTAAAGAATTCATTGGTTATAATATTTTACTGCTGGGGAAAATTCTGTTGCGTTTTATAGATTCAACAAAGGTGGATATTTTGGGGTTTTGGGGTTTTGGGGTTTTGGGGTTTTGGGG